CGGTTATTATTACGGCATTCGCGTGCGAAATGGCCCTTCTTGAAACATAACTGACACCGGACCTGTGCATCTCTGGACGCCGGCTCTCCTATCGGACACACGGTGGACTGTGCCTGAAGCGCACCCACGGCCTTGGTTAATTCCTCAATGCACTTTGTTTGCACAGTGACAATGGACTCTAGATCCTTTGGAGATTGCTTTGGTGTTTCCAAGGAGCTTGCTTCTTTTGCCAGACGGGCTCTCTTCGTCGTTTCCTCCCAAGTTAGTGGGTTATTCTGCACAACATGGATTCTGATGTTTGGTGGCAGACCTCTAACGAAAGCCGTCCTCTTCTCCCTTTCTGACTTTTGAAGTCTGGTGCAAACTTTCTCTATGTCCTTGATGTAGTCTTTCAAGGTTTTTGATTTAGACATGGTCCGGTTCCAAAGTGTTTGTTCCAGAAGCCATATTGGGAGTTTTACTGTTAAAGTGCTCTGCTAATTGTTCATGAAGTTCGTTAGCAGATGCAAACTCTATGTTCTCAAGCCAGTTGACATCGGAATCTGGCACTTACAACTTCAGAGCATTAAAAATTGCTTCCGCATCTGTGGAAATGCCAGAAATTTTGGTCCAGCTTTGAAACCGAGAGATCCAAAGGTTAATGACATTTTCTTGTCCGGAGAGTTTCTCGGGTTTAAAAGCACTGGTTTTCATTGTGTCTGTGTTTTCCCCGGTTGTCTTTTCCTTTGAAACTGTAATTAGTTCCTGTATAGTCGCGTTTAAATCACCCGCCATTTCAGTTCTATTAGTCTCTCTCTCTCTATTGTCTCTTCACCTGGTTCTTTGGCCTGCTGCCTAGTAAGAGGCATTTTACCTGCAAGTCATCGCCTCGGTCGGGTGCCCTTAATATCCAAGATACCCGGATTCTCCACCAATTGTGACAATGTGATTAGGCCTTCCAAGAAAACACTCGTCACTACATGTTTTATGGTTCTTTATTAATGAATTCCCAAAAAAGTTATATACAACTCGCTAAAGCTCTACCCTAAGACTCAGAACTAACATACACACAAATCTCATCTCTTTCCCCCAGACTCATCCCACATTTCTAAAGATAGCCAATGAAATGGAATAAAACAGAAATTGTAACATCAAAAGAAAGATGGTTGACATTAAATTAGGCCGAATTCTCAAGACAGGAAATGCTCAATCTTTTATCTCTACGCTGAATATAAAAAAAACTTACAATACTGCCATTGATACCGTGGGACACGAGGGGGAGAGATGTCAAATTGATAAATATAATACAGATGCTGAAACATCAAAGTAAAAGTAAAATACAGAAATTCACTCCTTGACAATTGTAAGTGGAAAAAAAGAAGGAAAATAAACTATATTTTTTGCATTATGTTGAGAAACCCAAATTCTCTGGGTTGGTTCATACAACACAAGCAGTGTCTGTCTATACAAATACATACAGAGACAGGCATATTGTAATTAGAATTAATTAATTGTAATTATATTATTAGAAACGAGTACAATTATAGACAAAGTACTTTAAGTTAATTGTTCTTGATTAATAAGATAAATGTTCACGGATATACGGACTCAGCATTGAGCTATATCTGATGTGGATTTTAATTAGTTGATAAGAATTAAACAAGACATATTAACTTGCCTATTAAACTATTAAATTAATATTAACAATGACAATGAAATGTTCAAAGAAGAAATGTGATAAATGACTTCAAACATGCTATAGAGATCGAGACTGGGTTGAAATACAGTGAACCCGACTCCAAAACAATAATATACGATTGGCAGCATTTAATCAATATCTTTTACAACTATTTACCGATTATTCAATAACAAACATATCATGTGTACTATTGTTACTATACATATTACTCTGATGAAAACAATGACTTGATAGTACAATATGCGCTGCGAGTGACATGTATATGACGTGTATTCTTCTTATAGTGACATTGTCATATTTTGATTAAGATAATACACATTCACCAAGTTAATAAAATAAGTTTTGTTGCATTTGAGCTTTGAATAAGATTGCATTTACAGTGCAGTGTTTTGTGTAGGACAATTCATTAAACCTGAGTCTGAATTTAATAATCATAAACAAATCATCGATATACCTTTCAAAGGAATGCCATTGTACTAGAATAATACACACTTGTGGGCATTTAAACTTTGAGTAAGGCTGCATTTTGCAGTTCTGTAGTATTTTTGGGACAATTCAATATACCTGAGTCTAATTTAAATTCTTGTTTATATTTGATCATCTAGAAATCATGAACGTTTATTTTTTGTTCTAAATATATCCTGTCTTGTCTCGTTGTTAATGGTTGAATTGATTGATGTGGTGCTATTTTATCAAACCAAAGTGATATAAACTATTGAATAAGGAATTGCCTTTTTATATCAGGTATTTAGAACATATTAAAACCTTTGTTTGAACTGCAGAAACCAAACATCTAATGAAACACTAACGGAAAAGTGTTCAGAAATAATTTGCAATATTCAATTTAATTCCTACGTTGATTCGATATATCCCCTTGAGCTCAAAATACAAGAAATCACCGAGTCTACCGCATTTGTTTCATATTTGGATGTTTTACCGACCATAGACAATAAGGGCCAACTAAGAAAACTAAACCATATGATAAATGAGATGACTTCAGATTTTTCCATCGTCAACTTTCCTAATTTATGTTGTGATATACCGTTATCATCTACATTGGTATTTACATCTCCAAACTTACTACTGCCACTATGGCCGTCGATTTCGATGACAAGCCTAGAGAGGACACATTATTGAGCTTGCAGTAAAAGGGAATCTAATTAAAACGCATGAGGGCTATACCTCTCTTACAGAAAAATTTAAAACAAACTTGGTACCCACAACATGCGATAGCCAGTACACATTATGCCGTCATATTATGACATCATCGTTCTAACCTACACAAAGTTATAAGGAACATCAAGAAAATAGCTTGGGAGCAATGGCATACCTTATTATTTTTTTATTTAAAAAAATGTCTAAAAATAAGCAGAATATTCCAAGGATTTATGACATTGTTGCACAAATGTCAACAGGGCAATTGTTTAGCTACTATTCGTATAGTTTTTAGTTGAAACAGGGTACAAATTCACAGTCTGGTGCAAATTTCCTAAAATTCTTGTGAAATTAAAAGTGTATAGGATTTGTGCAACAATTTTATTTATTTTTAGAATATTCTTCTTAATATCATCCATTATTTGTTTTAGATTTAACAGGATATTCTTTACATCGACGCTGTTTTGCTGATATGTTTTATAACCTTAAGTGGTAAAGAACATGAAGTCATAACATAACGCCATAATGTGCACTAGTTTTAATTTGTTGTACTAAGTATGTATAGGAAAATAAATTTAAACTTTCTCTGTATAAGAGACATACATCTTATGCATTTTTATTAGCTCATTTGCATAGAAAAGCACAGCCTATACATAGCCTTAACTCACTTGCGTAGTGAATATTTGAAAGTTTTACAATCAATATTATTAAAAAAAAATAATTGGAAACAAAAGAAATCCCTTCCAGAATTCCTCCGGACGTTTGACCGCTGACCGATCGTTTAGTGTTAACCTGCTTCAGGTAGAAATTACTTTGAAAATACACGTGCAGATTTCCATTAGTAATTCATTATAAGAAACAATTTCCTTTGTCAAATTATATAGATACAGAAATATATTAGCCGTGTATACAACTGGTAACATGCTTCTGAATCCATACCTGAAACAGCGTGAACATTTTTATATATAATTTTACACAGCTGATGGCATATACATTTTGTAAACATTTCTTACTGTTTGGCGAATGAAAGCTAATTACGTAAAAAGTGATATAGATGTGGTTTAAATCGGATTATGATCTTTGTCTATCATTATTATTATGTAAGAATATTTTTCCTCATAGACAACATTTCTGTAGTCTTCAGAGACAAGGTCTTCCAACAAACTGTTGGAATTCCGATATGAACCAATTGTGCTCCTTTATAAGCCGACTGTTTTTATATTCCCATGAAGCAGAAATTATTTATAACCTTTTAAATAATAATAAGAAGAAGACACTTGCTTTGGTCTTCAGCTCGAATTAATATATATCATTCATTCATATGTCGACTCAATATATTCCAGTGAACTTGAATTAAAACACCCCAGAGCATACCACATCTGTTTAATATTTGGATGTTTTACTCAGACAAACTATCAACTAAATTGTATGACAAACGAGATGACTTAAGCTTTACGTAGTAATATCCCACTATCACTTGCATATGATGTTTACATCTCCCAGCTTATTCGATACTCAAGAGCATGCTCCGAGTAAGATCAATTTTTAAACCGAGGTAGGCTACTGACATGTATGTTGATGTTACAAGGATTTCAACAACCTGCTTAAAGTCAGCATTTTATAAATTCTATGGTCGTTATAACGACCCCGTTAGTAAATACACTTGTCATTACGTTGTATTTTGGCTGACGTGTTTCATACCAATTCTTTGGCCTTTGTATATTGAATTTGAAAACGGGATATTCCGTCTGCTTGATCTCTACATAGGGCTCATGGCGGGTGTGATCAGTCAACAGGGATGCTTACTCCTCCTAGGCACCTGATTCAACCTTTGGATTTCCAGGGGTCTGTGTTCTATGGCCTCTTGACAAATTTGTATTGTTTATAGATTATTATGATCGAATAGTGTATCATAACATATCGATATTAAAACATATATATTCAATCTTAAAATAATCTTAAAATAATGTACAATTAAGTAAGTTTTGGAATAACATTTTAAAATAAATAAAAGGATATTTTGAATTGAATTTTTGTTAAAAATCCATTGCTTAATTTTTGCAGAATGTGTTTCTGAAGACCACAAATCTGAACCTCATGGATATACTCTTAGTATTAGAATTCAGCATATAGTGTAAAGTACGACAGTGCATCGAAATATCAGATCATGTACACGGTAATCTGCACTCTAGGATCAAGCGCCCAGTGTAAAATACGACAGTGTTCTCTATGCCAGAGGGACACAGAATTCTACTGTAACACGTGTAAACATGATCTATGTCTACAGTGTAAAGAGAAGCATGTTATTGATCTTGATACAATGTACCATGATGTTGTGATTTACTGTGAGAAATTTCAATACATCCCAATTCAAAAGACTTGTGTGAGACATCCAATAAGAATTTCTGAAAACTTCTGCTATTCCTGTGAACTTCCAATTTGTGGCCAATGTGAAGAACACAGAAATCACAACATTTTATTAGACTTTGTAAAAGAATATCAAACAAAACGTAAACAACATAAAGAAATCATTCAGAACATCAGAAGTGAGACTATTTATAACAACTGTTTTCTCCTGGCAACCATTAAAGCTGATATTAAAACTTGCCACAATGAAATCTCTAAGTTTCAGTCAGAAATGTCAAAGAAAGCACACATAATAACTGACGTCATTTATTCTGTGATATGTTCTTTAAATGAAAGTTTTATCTGTAGAGTAAAACAACAGATAGAAAAAATGCACAGACACCTAGCCAGAATTGAAAACTGCGAACACAAATTTGAACAGTTTACACACAGACAAGTAAAATTACTCAAATTCCTAAAGAAAGCACGCATCTTCAAGAAAGAAGAGAGTCCTAATACATCACAAATTGTCCTAACTGATGATATCCACATTGAGGTTGTGAAAAGGGTACTGAATGCAATCCAAATAACAGAGAGAGGAAAAAGAAAAATTAAAAATGAATCTGTCCTGAAACTGATGTATACATCCGTGTTACACAGAAATTTTACAGTGACAGGTGTTGGTGATGTATATCACATTTCACGTGTTACATCAGATTTGTTATGGATCAGTGATTACTGGGATGAAAATGTAATTCTGACAAACACAGCAGGTGACAATCTGCATCATTTACCAGATATACCTGGTAGTTATGGAGGTATACACACAGTAAATAGTAAAGGTGATCTTATATATATAGATAGGTATCACTGCATTAACAAACTATCTAAAGGTAAAAACGAAAACTCAACACTGATAGAAATAAAGAAACCATGGAAACCCCTGTCTGTCTATTACTCCAAGTCGAATGAAGATTTTCTGGTGGGAATGAGAAATATTAATTCAAAGACAGCCACGATCAACCGCTACAGTAAAACAGCGGAACACATACAGACAATAGAACAAAATAACACAGGTCAAAAACTCTATATGTATCCAAGATACATCACAGAAAACTGCAATGGAGATGTTATTGTGGCCAATTACCTTTCAATTCATCGCGGTGTTGTTGTGGTGACAGACAATGGAGGAAGACATCGATTCTCCTATACCGGACCTCCATCAGGAACAGGACTTCAACCACGAGGGGTATGTACAGATGCGCTGTTAAATATCCTGGTGTGTGACGAGAACACAAAAGCAGTCCAGATGATTGACAAAGATGGCCATTTCCTCTTATTGTTGCTTACAGAAAGCGAAGGGGTACACAAACCACGAAGCCTGAGTTATGATGATGAAACAAATCTTCTTTGGGTCGGATCGTTAAACAGCAATATTATTTCTGTATACAGATACGTAAACAAACAGGAATATCTAACTGGTGATTATAAAAGGCTACAGAACTTAATTGTACGGAAATGACGATTTAAAAACCAGAAAAAGCCTCATTCTAAAGCTACATGGTTTCAAAATTTAATTTTATCGGCCAGATTCCACATCCGTTTTTTTTATTTGATGTCTTTATTTGTCATTGTACAAGTAAAATAGTCCAGTTTGTTGTTTCCATCAAAACAACTGATCGGACTTCCGAAAGATTGTAATATTTTAATAGATTTCATATGTATAAATGTTGTATTGTTAACATCCCTGGAGATGTCAACATTTTAATCACAAGAAAGGTTTTTGCATAATCTCAATCTAATTGTACATGTATCTGAGATGGAAAAAAGTAAAGATAATTGAAAAAAAAGATCAGTCTCAAATGTTCTCTTAAAAAAAAGTAAATGACTATAAAATGCTTCAACAAAAATTTAAGATTTGAAAAATGATCGCCTCATATAGAGTTGACAATTATCTGCAGTTAGATTAAATGACTTGTTATCCTGCATTTGTTGTACAGTATTACATGTACTTTTAGAAGATTTTGCACTGTATATTAAATGTATGGCAGGTTTCCGGATGAGTGAAGTATAATGGCAATGAATCAGGTTTTACATTTGGTAAAATTTTGTTGTTTTTTTTCAACCCGAAGACCAGTTAACTTGCTTGTTTATAGTTATGTGAAAAAAGAATTTTACAGACTGTAAAAGGGTATTTGAAATGGATCAGATAAGATTTTTATTTGACATTGTATATAGTATGATGTAATGAAAACTATTGTTTCATCAATAAAGCAAGAGTGTTCCAAGGAGAGTATTTGTTGTCTGCTTTATAGCTTCATTAAAAATGTAAATAAATCGAGGAGTTGTCAGATTTCTCTTTACTTTTAGCACGATCGATCGTTAATGCATTTGTCTGAAAATAAGAATTGTATCCATAGATAGTATAAGACAGCAATAGAATCTGACAATGAAAATTAACATGGTTTTCTATCCCTCAAATAAATAATTAGAATGAAATTATTAGAAATATCTATTTGTCATTTTATTAAAACGTGTTTCTTACAATCCTCCAAAAGAGATTTCAGTCTGTCTTTACTGTCAGTTTACACAATACATTGTGGAATACTGATCCCGATGTATTTTCAAAGTATTCAAAATATAAGTTTGTGTGTAAACTGATCTCATACAATTTAAAAGTACGGTATCAAGAGCTCAACGTGTTTCCAACAAAACTCCAAGAAGAAATTTCAGTTAGTCTTTACTGCAATTGTCAGTTTACACGATACATTGTGGAATACCGATCCCGATATATTTTCATAGTATTTAAAATATAAGTTTGTAAGGAAACTGAATTTCATAGAATTTAAAAGTACGGTATCAAGAGCTCAACGTGTTTCCAACAAAACTCCAAAAAGAGATTTCAGTTTGTCTTTACTGCAATTTTTCAGTTTACACGATACATTGTGGAAAACCGATCCTGATGTATTTCTATAGTATTTAAATATAGGTTTGTGTGGTAACTGAATATCATACAGTTTCAAATTACAGTGCAATGAGTTCATAAACATGTATAAATGGTACTTATCAAAATTCTTCCTGTAAAAATTCAAAAGTCATAAGTCAATTTGAACTGTCTCGGGTTTTTTTGGCAAAGAAAGTCAAAGGTCAAGATCAAGTGGATTGTAATGTCTTAAGACAAACAGTGCATATGCTAAATAGCATAGACTTACCCCATAAAATATGTTGTATATCGGTACTATGAACTATCTTGAAAAATTGGTTAAGGTTAAAGGGTCATGAGGACGGTAACCATGATGATTTACAAAAGCTACAGTCCCACGCAATATATGTGCAAAATATCAAACCCATACCTCTTAAAATTCTCGAGAGATAGGGTGTAATAGACGAACAGACAGACAGGTGCCGGGTAAGGTGATACCTAAGTGCCGCTCTGCTCTACAGTCGACATAATCATAAAATACCTAGGGCATTAAATTCAAATTTACTATCCCGTACTCCACAATGTATCATATCTTTAAATAAAAATATGCTTTCTAAAACTTATTTAGTATTTTAGTTATGATCGCCAGAGATATTCAAGACAGACAAATCGAAGTAGTATGGTATTGGAAAAATATAAGATGACAAACAATGACCAAACTCATATATCTAGTAGAAAAACAAAATTGATTTATTTATGTATGGGTAAATTTCAAGAGAACATAAGGCAAGATGTATCAAATCAATGGTATGGTTTATTTTTTATTTCATCTAAATTTTCCTTTAAGAAGACTCGCAATTTTGTAGAGGGGCATTAAAAGGTTGGTACAAAAATATCACATGGTTTAAGATTTTAAATTAGTTTGTTCTTTCTTTCCTGCAAAATACATGAGACAACTGCCATATGCTTCCTTTTTTTATTTGATTTTACCAAAGAAAATCTTACTTCTATTTTATTTTTCAAATACATTTAATTTGTTTTAATTTCTAAATACAATATGCATTGTATATGCAGTAACTGTTTAGCTTTTAATTATTGATGTGAGTAAAGTTTTACATTAAAGAAATATAGTATTTTGAGGGAAGAGTTAAAATCCAGCAAACTATGAAAATACTGTAGATTTGATTAATTGTTTGACTGATTGTATGTTGTTTTACGTCCCGTTTTAGAATATTTTTAACTCATATAAAGACGTCACCTTATACTGATGAAGGGCTTCATATTTTGACCTCTACTCGGCACCCAGGGCCATTGAGCAGTGAGGGTTCCTTATCATGCAAACGCCTACCGTGACACGAGGCCTCGGATTTTAAGGTCTCACCCGAACGTCCCGCAACTTTCACTTCAAAGTCTCGAGCGCCTGGCGGAGGATTAGTTGCAACCTATTTTTTTTTATCGACTTAGGTAAGTTGTGGCCATGATTGGTACACACGACCCTCCGATCACGGAGCGAGCACTCTAGCGACTGAGCTATCATGACAGCTCTGTAGGTTTGAAGATTTTTTTTTAAGAAATAGAATTAGCAACGTTATTCATTAAAATCTTAAACAAATACTAGGAATAAATTTTTATTGAAATCTGAAGTTGACATAGTAGCATGACTTTTTTGGACCTTTTAAGATCTTATTTGGAAATTCTTTAGAAGAGCATTAAACGTCTGTTGCAACACTTTTGAAAGAACTATTGAAATAATTATGGCTAAAGTGGTTAAAAATGCATTCTTAACTACTATCAAGATATTTTTTTTCATTAGTACACGTCATTTCAATAGTGGTTGCAACCTGGTTTGAGTTTTGAAATGCATTTTCAAACACTGTTTAATTAGATATTTCAATTGTGAACGTTATTTCTTTAGTGTTTGCAACAAACGTGTCCCAGGTAATAAGAAGATGGAAATATGAAATCAACAAAGAAGAAGGTACTGTTTGGGCTTTATTGTGCCCTAAAATTTGATGTTCTTAAAAAAAGTTATGAAATTAGCTTAAATATGGTATGAGGAGATGGATGTGAAAAATCATGAAAGAATATGGCATTAAGGAGGACCATTGTGGAAATACATGTATGACATCATTAATGTGTTATATTTTTATGTTTTAAACATAAAAAGCCTCAAAACGACTCATTTCAGGGGTTATTTCCCTTAAGAAAATAGTGTCCACAGCCGTCGCCCACTTTAATTTTTGGATATGTTGTGTAAAATCCTATAAAAAAATCACATTTATCAAAATCTTTGTGGGCGATGCATGTGCTCTATATTATTTTATAGAAAGTTATACTGAAAATTGATGTCTTCTGCTACTTCTTAAGAAAATGCACAAGTTCCTGACGTCACATTTAACATTTAGAAGGTCAATTAAGAAAAATACGGGCAAAATTTGTATTTAAGTCGTACCTTGTTCTTAGAAAAAAGAACTGGATAAAGCCAATATCAAAATGAATAAAATGCTGTTTCTTACCTACAATTTGAAAATAAAAGCACGTTGAAAAGAGGAAAAGTATGAAAGAAATGCTTTTTAACTCTTACAAGATCAAAATTAAATTGGACAGGTCTCAGGTGAATAGGTTACATTATGTTGAAACATCTTTTTTAAATCAAAAGAGAAAACTTTATTGCAATGAATGTAATTTCAACATGGGTTTGGATGGTTAGCTGAAAAAACACGTTTTTTCTTCACACTTTTTCTTATGGTACATACTGGGATTTTACTTTCATTTTTTTCCTACAGAATTTGTACTTAATTATAAGATGGATTTCGGCAGTTCATATATTGCTTATTCCTCACCACTCTCAGACAAAAGTACCTGCTATCATACCTTCTTTTTATTTTTACTTCATTCTGGTGTTCAATGTTGTCACCTTTTTTATAATTATATTTTGTTTGCCATTTTAAAATAGATTTTGTAAATTAAATTTTTATTCACGATTATTTCTGAACCTTTTTCTTTTATGAGAATTTTCTCTTGTCCAAATTTGGATCGTTTCATTGGAATTTCGAGATTGACTAACGTTCGTTATCTTCATATTTCATGAATAAGATTTTTATATTTAGATATTTGGTACTTGTTGTAAAAGTAATTATATTTCTTCGAAATTGAAGCAAATAGATAGAGGCACAGCATCCTTAGATTCCCCCTTTTATGATTCGAACCGTTTTAATTGATTTATATTTCTTTTTTTTTCATATGTTATTCATTGCACTTTTACCTCTGTATACTTTAAATGAAATAGTTACGTTGTCAAATAAAAATTATTTTGAAACAGATAAGGCTTATCAGTTCAAAATCAATAGGAGACCTTTAAATCGCTAGTTTTTTTTCTCCTACTGGAGCAGGTCAATGATTTTTGTAAATTCATTGATATCATTCTCATACCAGTGGTAAGTTTAATAGTGTTTTGTAATTTCATAACTTATTATCTATTCTTATTCTCACTTGGAATAGGCTAGCCACAGACATACATATATCTTCATAAGGTTTGGATTTTATTCATTTTTAACATCTCTTACACCTTTTCAATTCACAGACCTCTGAAAAGCTTGTTATCTCCGGTTTGAATTATTTCCAAATCAGGAAGTTTGTGGAGTGAACGAGTTAACCATAAACAATTGTTTTGTTTTCAAGATTTTTTTGTTAACCTTTTTTCCGTAATGATTGAGGTAATTACCTTTCAAATATTAAAATCACATAAAAACCTCTGCTTAAGAAATAGTCCTTACAAAATGGTAATTCTTTTAAAAAAGAATTATACTTATTAATATATTTTCATTGATACGACTTCAACTATCTTCAACTATCTTTTAAACGAGCTGCACGTATCCTATCAATATGCTTTTAACAGTACTCTTCGCAATTTGGTAAGGTACTTAAGTTTTTTTTTTAAATTTTTGAGTCATTTTATTTTTGGACGTTTTACAAACATACTGTCGAAAAAAAGGTAATCAATGTTATCTTTAAGTCATTTTCACTGTACTATTGAAACATTTTTTCCCAAGTATTGCTTTGGTCATCTTCTCAGATCAGAAGCAACTATTAGTAATTGATTGTTCGAGGTGAACATTTAATTATCTAAATAATAAATTTCCTTCTGACAAGCACCTTTTTATTCCATATTCGTGAATCTTCTTTAACGAGCGCATACAGTGAATTCAAACGAAAAACAAATATCACTATGCAAGTTAACTTATTAGGCAATGCGACAATGAAAACACTTGTATTTTATCCCGTGCATAAGGACGTTTCTACAATGTGTAGACAGCACGTAGTAAATTGTATTCTTCGAACGGCTACTCGCCGTTTACTACTTTTCTGTGTAGTGATGAAGAAGCCCTGTTTGTTGGAGTGGGGATGGATGGGGTAGGGGATGGGGATATGGGTACAGTATAATGTTTACCTGTATTGCCATGATAAGCAGAATTTAATAAAGAACTGATACACTTTATATTTCATCATGAATTATAGAAAGAAATTAGTAAATGGTAATAAATCTAAACATTTTGTTAATATTATTGAGCTGGATTTTGTTAATATTCTTTTTATACCAAATTGAATACTTTTTGTTATTATTAACATAAAAATGGATATCACATATATTTAGGGAATACAATCAGTAAATGCCATCAAATCTCTGATCAATTTTCTCTAATTCTAACATACCCGGTATTGGATTTTCGAGTAAAGCATCCAAATATGAAAGAGATGTGTAGACACTGTGTGGTATCTTACCTTAAGTATCCGCATCTGATACATGTAAACACCGGCTTGGTCGCATTTTCAAATACAAATTATTCATATGTGGTACTTTGGATGGCATGTTTCCTACCAGTTCTAATATAGACAATTGTATTATTAGTTATTTTGACTAGGGAATACTCCATCTATCTGATCAATACAATAGGTTTGTTGGACGTGTGACCGATCGCCCGAGGATTGTTAATCCCCGTAGGCCATGATCATACCCCATAAAATAGTTACAGAATATTATATGATAAAATTTTAAATGATAAGAAAAAGAAATAAATATCTAATTTGCAAAGAATTCATTTTAGAAGCTTTCCGTATTTAACTATTTTGATTTTCTTCTATCTCTTTCAGGAGATTGTGTTCTTAGAGACTAAGATCTTCTAAATCATGGGTTCAGGATCAAGCGCCCAGTGTAAAGTCCGGCAGTGTTCTCAGTGTCAGTTGGACACAGAATTCTACTGTAACACGTGTAAACACGATTTGTGTCTACAGTGTAAAGAGAGACATGTTATTGATTTAGATACCATGTACCATGATGTTGTGGTTTTCCGAGAAAAACATGACTATATTCAAAAACAAGAGACTTGTGTGAGACATACAGACAAAAGTTATAGAAAGTACTGTCAGTCTTGTGAACTTCCTGTCTGTGTCAAATGTATAGGACACAGAAAACACAAAATATTGGACATAAGATTAGCCTATGAAGCAAATCTACGTCGGTGTAAAGAAATCCTTAATATAATTAGAAATGAGTCTTTATATAACAGCTGTTTTCTCCTGACAGAAATCAAAACTGATCGAAAAACTTTTTGCAAAGAAATCTCCAACGGTCAAAACAAGATGTCAACAAAAGCCCAAAGGTTGAAGGACTGCATTGACACAGCGATATGTGATGTTAAATTTGGACGTAAAAGATTTATTTATAGATTGCAACGGCAAATCCGAATAATGAACCGTCACCTTGGGATGTTAGAGAACTATGAACACAGATATGAACACTCAGCAAACAGGCCGGTAGAATTTTTCTTGTTCTTGAAGAAAATGTGTTTCCATAGAAAAGCAGACACTAATAATCTTCCAAAACACGCCCTGCTCCCCCTTTGTGAAAAAATAAACACTGATGACGTGATTACGTTACTGGGTCGAATCCAACTGATAGAGACAAGAAAAAGAGAAGTAAAAGATGAATGTCTTCTGAAACTGATATCTACACCCGTGTTACATAGAACTGTGGGAGTGACAGGAACTAGGGCTATAACACACATATCACATGTGACATCTGACCAAATCTGGATCAGTGATAAAAACAATCTCATCTTGACAAACATAGAAGGTGATGAACTACATCGTTTGACAGATATATGTAGATATAACTGGAGTTGTGGTCTACACACAGTAAACACTACAGGTGATCTTATCTATATTGACGAGGGTTATAACATCAAAAAACTGTCTAAAGATAATAGATTAAAATCTTCGATGGTAAAAACAAAACCCTGGGTGCCACGTTGTGTCTACTGGTCCCCCTCAACCGGAGACCTACTAGTCGCTATGTTTAATTCTGATACGAAGACAGCACAGTTAAACCGTTACAATAACAAACAAGAACACATACAGACAATACAGCATGACCACACAGGTCAGGAATTGTATAAAGGACCTGTATACATAACAGAGAACAGCAATGGAGATGTTATTGTCTCTGACTATTACCGTGGTGTAGTGGTGACAGATTATGAAGGAAGATATCGCTTCACCTACACAGGACCCCCATCAGGATCACGACTTTATCCACAAGGAGCCTGTACAAACTCCTTATCGCACATCCTGGTATGTGATTGGTACACCAACACAGTACAGATGATTGACAAAGAAGGTCACTTTCTAACACTGATACAGACACAACAACAAGATATACACAGACCACGGAGTCTGAGTTATGATGACAAAACTCGCCTCCTATGGGTTGGATCAGGCAGTGACAATACAATTTATGCATACAGATGCATAGAGAGAAAACTTTCTGACAACAAATTGTATTTAAATTAAACATATTATATACACACATGAGAATCTGGAGAGCCTGTAATAAAATAATGCAAAAAGTATGTTATGCATTTTGTGTTATTACATTCTGCATTGACCTCGACGCAGAATGTTATAAAGGAAAATGTGATAATGTCAGTTTACTATATTTTGCGTCTTTATTATATCTTGCGTTGTAACACTCCACACAATCTCACATATAACGGGATATATCCAAAAATCTGACACATCTAATAAGCTCTAGCATAATTAATGGATCTTTCCTTTTACAGTTAAAGGTTTGCACAATTTACTCTATTTAGAAAAACAAGAGGCCCATGGGCCACAGCGCTCACCTGAGTAACTTTGGCCTTGCTGTTTTTCACCTGATTTCTCTCCCCCCCCCCCTGTAGTACTTATTGTGGCCCAGCCCTATCCCCAGGGGTCATGAATTGAACAATTGGAATCTACACTACCCCAGGATGCTTCCAAGTAAGTTTCAGCTTATCTGGCCCAGTGGTTCTTGAGAAGAAGATTTTTAAAGATTTTTCCTATATGTTTCAATGTAAAACTTGGATTCCCTATTGTGGGCCCGCCCTACCACCGAGGGTCATGATTTGCATAATTTAGAATCTACACTTCCCCAGCATGCTTTCACATAAGTTTCATCTTTTCTGGCCAAGTGGTTCTTGAGAAGAAGATTTTTTAATGACCCCACCCAATTTTTGTATTTTCTTGATTATCTCCCCTTTGAAGGGGACTTGGCCCTTCATTTTAAGAATTTAAACTCCCCTTTACGCAAGGTTGCTTTGTACCAAGTTTGGTTAAAATTGGCCCAGTGGTTCTTGAGAAGAAGTCGAAAATGTGAAAAGTTTACAGACGGACGGACGGACGGACTGACAGACGGACGGACGACGGACAACGGGTGATCAGAAAAGCTCACTTGAGCTTTCAGCTCAGGTGAGCTAAAAAGTGAAAAGTGGAATCCAGGAATTATCGCCCGCTCTCAATTTTGCCAACTAATCAAAAGTTTTAAATGGTTACTATCATATTAATATCTCAAAGAGTGAAAATAGTTGCATACACATCTGAATCACTTCCAGTAACAGCTGATGTGCCACGGGGTTCTATTTCAGGCCCTTTCTTCTTTTTTGATACACATCAACAATTTGCTATTGTTTGTAAAACATTGAATTATGGATATCTTTGCTGATGACAACACAATGCATTTTGTGATAAAAATACTTCCCATATTGAACAATACTTAAGGGAGCTCTCTACATCGTCACAATAGGGAGTACGTTCATTCAAAACGCCAGCTTGGTTCGAAATGATCAGACTCTGTCCTGAACAAATTCACTAATCACCAATAAATTACCAGTTATTCCATATCATGCGGAACGTTGGCTCTATTGTGAACGGAAAGCGACGTAGGCGACTAAGGTACCCCTTGTTTTAGTTTAGTTTTATTCTGTCAATAAATTCGAATGATTTCATGCACAAACTTATAAAGCTGAAATATGATTATAAGTAATTTTAAAAAAAGTGACAATTAACAAAAGCTTTGTCAAGGTATTTGATCGTTATGTGTCAAACCAATTTAGATGTTTCCAGAGAGTCCTTTCAGAAATTAATGCTTCTTTCGAAAGCATGTGCTTTCCAGAGAAATATATCCAATAATTGCAAAATTAGACAAAAAGGGTATATCCACCACCTTCCAATCGCTTTGGGGATACATCGTGTTCACAACAGAGTATACATCCCACATATGTGGTTATACCCGATGAAATTTGAACTCTTCATAAAATCACTTAAACGTTTAGAGAATTTGTAGAATTGTATTAACTCAATGTTTGATAAACATTGATAATCAGCTGTTTTGTATGGATTTGTAAAGATTTGGAGCGAAGTATGAATTTCGTTACACAAACTCCTTTTACCATTTACTTGACGTATCATCTGTAGCACAGGATAACTGAGACCACTTCAACTTGTTTGTCAAAACGTTGCCTCGTTTTAGAAATTGTTCATACGTAGAGCATGCTCTTGTGTATCGAATCAACTGAGAGACATAAAATCCCATATGCAGGCGATAAGGGTTTATTGCTACATAAGTAAGGGAAGTCACGTTTATCATAACGCTTTGTTGTTAGGTTACTATTAACGTTTTTTTTCCCTAGTAAAATACGAGGGGTGATCAAAAAGATGGCGAACTAATTGAATTACTTCCATAAAAGAAATAAAATCAAGTTTCAGTGTTCATTATTTTGTAAAAGTAGTCCTCTAAAATTTAATGCACATCTGAAACCGTTCTGACATGCGCGAATCATGTGATCCAGCCGGTCACTTGACATGCTTCTGTTCACAGAAGCTAAAAGATATTCCGAGTCTTATATTTCTTTCCATGCAAGTTATTTGTTATAACAGGAACAGTCGATTTGTCAGAAATGGCCAAATCTCGGCAAAAAGGATGGGTGGACGAGGAAATCCTTTCCCTGAATGGGCATGGTGACCATCACAACCAACAAACATCATTTTAACCCTCTCCATTATTATTCTATTGTATGTGTTTTCTTCAATAAAATTCAAAGACGTAGCAATGTCAAATTCTGACTTAAGCCGAAACTGCTTCGTGATCCTCAGATCAGTCCATATGAACTGATAAACTGAGGTCTCATGCTGGTATGATAAATATCCCTCACTGTTCAATGGCAGCGTACGTCGAATACAGGTCTTAATGTACAGTCTTCTACCGACAAGCAGTGGTGTCCTAACATGAGTTAAAAATCTCGACGAGAAGTTTAGCAAACATTATACCGCGTTTCCAAGATCCGCACTGGACGACATTTAATCTGAAATAAAGGATATTAACTATCATTTTTTATCAACCTTTCCTGATTTGTAACTTTGGGTACTTTGAGATTCTGAATGGGTCATCACAGTTTTTATCCCCCGTTTCTGCGAAACCGAGGGGACATTAAAGTCCATTCGTCTGTCAATCTGTCAGTCTGTGTATCACGAAAATTTCAACCTTGGTAAGACCTTTTGAATGAAAAGAAAGCTTTCATATTTCACATGCACATTGTCTGTGAAAGGCCTTTCCAAATATACTATGATTTTTGAGCTTGAGGTTTGACTTCCTTTTCAAAAAATAAACATAACTTTAACCTGGGTCATAACTTTTGAATGAGAAAAGATAGGTCTTTCTTAAAATTAACGTGAAAATTACCTTAAGCAATACCTTTCAAAATATACTATGATTTTTGACCTCGTGACCTTGATCTTGAAGTTTGACCCTTTTGTTAAAAAATCAAGCATTATTGAAAACTTTTGAATGAAAGAAGTTAGGGCGTTCAATTTGATACACGCAGTACTTGTACCTGTGACGAGACGTTTACAAATATGTTATGATTTTTAACACCATTATTTTGACATTGAATTCTGAATTTATTTTCAAAAAATTTAACATTGCTTATTCCTTTGGAATAAGAGATTACCTTTCATATTTGACATATGCTTTACCTATTTCAAGATCGTTCCAAATGTACGCTGGTATTTGACCTCATGGAATTAACCTTTGAGTGTAGCCTACATTCTTTTCATTTTTTCTTTACATTGTTTATAACTTTGGAATGAGAGAAGATAGAGCTTTCATATCATACATGTATATTACCTCTGACTACACCTTTTAGAAAAAAAAACAACATTTTTTACTCCATGATCTTGACCTAGTTGTTTGACCTACGTATCAAATCTTTTAAAGTTTGTCATAACTTCTGATCAAGAAGAGACAGAGCTTTCACATTTTTCCAAATGTGTAATATTTTCTTTTAAATAATATTATGATATATGACGTCATGACCTTGTTCATGAAGTTTGATGCAGTTTTCAGAAACATTATTTTTTGCCGTAACTTTAGACAATTCAAGACTTTACATATTGTTTGTATTGTGGACAGACAAGACAGGACACACAAACAAAACAGTTACAATAGACCATAAATAATTTCCCTACTGCTAAATAACCGACAGCGGAGGACCACGATTTTTTTTAATAAGCCTGTTTTCAAATTAATTTACATATCAGCATTGAATACATCACAGGTGTCAATGTTAAACATTCCACTGAATCTCCCCTTCACAAAAAATCAGTCTTTTTATGATATTTATTCTACAATATATAGGAGTCATATTGTTCGTCTATTTATGTAATTATCCTTAGAATGTAGAAAAAGAAACATTGGAAGCTTATTTTGACATACATGTTGATTAGAATCAGGGATTGTGTAAAAACCTGGATGCAAGGTGGTTTAAACAAATTAAAGGTCAACAACAAGCTTTGCTCTAGTTATAACTGTTAGTTGGTTTTGTATTTGATATTTTATTTTTTCAATATTTTTTACGATATTGGGCTTCGGTTATTAATATAATCCATTAGAAATCAAATAATTACGTTGTCAATGAAAACAAAATTTGGAATCGAAACAAGTAAGACTTATCAGTTCTAACTCGATAGTGCATTTCTTAAATCACCAACTTATCATTTATAAGATTAGAGCATTGACTTATTATTCATTGATAAGCATTTTAAGCCCTGGTTCATTATTATTGCGTCTGGTGTTTTGTGATTTGATAATAATATTTTGTCTTACTTGTACATTTTGACTATAGTAAGGCACTTTAATATTAACAATCATAAGGTATTATCTTAATTTAAGCTCCTGACCTTATCTAAATGTGTGGATTTTTTTTTCTGAGATTTCAAATTCCTTATTTTTCAAAGAACTACGCACGCTAACTCTCTGTTTCCGCCTACATTTTACACCTATTAATTGAATTTAAATAACGATTTGGCCATTATTGTTATTAATGCAAAGAAGAGTTCAATGGTAAATGATTATTAAAACTAGTGCCAACAGTTAATTACTTAACATGAGAGCTTTTTATAAAAGTGGCAGACGATGTTTCCATTGAAATCAGGCTTTAAAGCATCACTAAATTCTCAGATATTCTTGGATATGGATA